GTTCTGTTAAAAGCCAACACCTGCTCTCCAAAGCCAGTAAAAGGCACAGAGGTGCTAGATCTTTCTCCTTGCCACGCTGGACAACCCCAGATTTCTGAGGTAAGAACTGCTGTCCCCAACTCTGCTCCCTCACTCGCACACACTGAACTGCCCCACACCCGACACCAGAGAGAACGAGGTTTGACTGCAGATTTCTGCAGTATTTTCAGAAATGAACTTATAAATATCTCCATGCAAAACATCACCTTGGGAGTACTAGTTAAACCATAGCTACAAATTCTCCTAAACAGATGAAAAAAAAAATAAGGACCTCTAGCAGAGATCTGACAACCTTAAAAATAATAACCTTAAACAGACCTTTTTATCCAAAAGCTGGATCCAAAAGAGTTTGCAACAGTAAATCTTCCCCCCACACACAATGGAAACCATCATTATCTGACACACATCAATTAAATATCACACCTACTAGACTCATAAAAATTCAGCTTTCTAAACAAAAGCTAAAAAGAGAATGTAAAGAAATATTACATGTAATTACTGATATATATATATATATTCTTCCAAACTAGGAATCCCTCACCCAACTGCACTGAAATATGGATTTTAAATCCACCACCACCAGCTACTTCAAACTAATACACTTTCTCACAGAACTAAAGAAGCTCCAAGCCTCTCACCCTTAAAGCTGACACACTCTCCAATTAAAAGAAAATCATTCCTTTTTATTGCCCCAGTACAATTTCCACACTAACTTTAGAGAAATCCAATGACTTTTATGGGGTTCCAGGAGCTCCCCGTGCAGGTGGGCTGAGACTGGAGGGGTTCAAACCCACTCCTGCCCATCTCACACATCCCTGTGGAGCTGCAGGCAACATGTGGGACTTCACTGCACCACAAAAATCCCTCCCACGAGCCCCTCCACTCCCAGCTGTGGCACAGCCCAACATCTGGAGGGGAGGGAGCAGAGCCAAGCACACCAGGTAACCCAGGGGATCTGATCCTGGATGCAATGGCAGCAAAACGCCCTCCCGACTTCACTGCCTGGAGTTTCCTCCAGAGGAAGAAACGTTTTGGTGCCACAACAGTTCACTTTTGGTTTTAGGCTGAAAGCGAAAGCTCAGCCTCTCCCTCGGCAGCCTCACAGCTCAGAATAGAAAACAAATAAATAAAGGGTAAAGTGGGATGGTATGTGCTGCCCTTGGGGAACCTATAGCTGGCTCTGGGGAAGGCAAAGTCAAATTTGTGCAGCAGCAAGGCAAGAAGTCAGCACAGCCCATAGACAGAAGCCAGCTCCACAGAGGCAGAACTCTAGGAAGGTGTTTAATAAACACCAGGGAAGAGACAAAGGGTTTAACCTGTATTTCTTGCAGATCAAGGAACAGCCTCAGAAACTTCAGATGCATATGCTCCACCTGAAGCATTTCTGCAGCATTTAACAAAACCAGCTGGCAGTTCCTTAGCACTGCCCAAGCCTGCCAGAATCCCAAAGGGGCATTGGGCAATTCCTGGGAACTGGAGGAGTGGGCACAGACCTTTAGAGGCTGCTTACAGGTATCTGTACTCCTCCCCAGTCAGCCACTAATCTTCCCCCAGATTGGCCAAACAAGCTATTTAAAAATACTTCCTCTGTTCCAGCAGAACTGCAAATTCACTGTAAATCCACTGACCACAATTACTAACGATGCTGTTGGAAATGGTCTTTCAAAGCACATTAACCTCTGTTCACTACAGTGTGTGGAAGGCACAAACCAGGGAAGGAATTGCAGGTCTGGAGACGACATTTATTGCCAAAGGGCAGCTTTCACACCTGGGAAGAAGTTCCAGTGAAATTATTTATGTCTTTGTTAATTAACTCACACATGGACGTTGTTACACAGAACCCAGTCTGCCCAGTGTGTGCACTTGTCACCTCCACCATCCCTCCCCATCTCCTGCAGGTGAACATCAATCCTGATGCAGAAGGAAGGGACTGTCCCTGCAGGAACACACCATGCCTTTAACACAGGGAAAAGTGACCCGACAGTCTCACCCAGACAAATCATTTGCAGGACAGCCCGATGCCAGAAGGCTCTGACCCCAGCTCCAGGCCACACGAGGCAAACCTGGCTGGCCATGCCCGAACCACCTGGGCAGTGTGGACTGCACAGGGCCCTCAACAGCACGGGAGAGGAGCTTCCAGAACAGGGCCACGTGTGCCGAGCACACCGTGTGTGCTGAGGGAGAGCAGGGTGAGCGCGGGGTCAGCCCCGCGGGGCAGGGACAGACCCCGGGCAGGACTGCAAACAGCGGCACAGGAACGGCACCAACCCGGGGGGAGCAGCCCCTGCCAGCCCCCCTGCCCGTGCTGGGAACGGGCACGGTACCCCCAGGGGCGCTGAGCCCCCCAGAGCAGTCCCAGCACACGCAGCCCACCAACCCCACAGGCTGCCTGGGCACACACCCTGTGCACACACACATCCATCCACAAGGCTGATCAACTAACACTTCAGGAAAAATGGGAAAACTTATGTTTTCAGAACCAAACCAGCCACCGGAGTTGGGAAATTAAAGCTATTTTAATCACTTTAGACCTTCTTCAACCGTAACTAAAAGTCTGAAAAAGCCCTTGTTTTTGAGGTTGGTTTTGAAATGCTGTTATTCAAACACAGATTCAATACTCCCAATGAGAAAGAGCTGCTTCAACACAAACCAGGAACACTCTGGCTACACACAGCAACTCCACGAGTAACTTCCAGGTTCAGCTCTGCTCCCCCCGGGAAACTCAGAGAAAACCCCAGGACCACACTGCAGGGTCAGTTTTAGTCATATCACCAACAAAGAAAGAAGTGGGAAAGCATCTTCTGCTGGGAAACAACCACTTCTCCGGAGCAAACGCCTGAACTCCACAAGACCCTTCTGTCACGTTGTGTCAGCTCATAAAACACAAGGAATTACTCGCTATTTCCCTACTCCCCCACTACAGATTTGCCACTATAACTCAATATAGAACCAGAGGAGGAGGGAAGGACAAAAGCAAGGAACTGACAAAGTTGTCTTATCACTGTTTATAAGCTCAACGATTCCACACAAGTTTTCTCCCAACTGTTGATATCCAGACCTATCCCTGGATTTCAGGTTTCAAGGCTGAGGTTTCTGGGTTTGATGTTCCACCTCGAAGAAAAGGACACTGGAGACGGGCTGAGAGGGGCTAGTGCTCATAACGAGCCAAACCCCCCAAACCCACACGGCAGCAGCTCCACAACACTTTGGCAGTCAGTGGGCTCACTGCACGAGAACACTCCTGGTTTCTGTTTTTCACCATTATATTGAGGACTTCTCATGTTTTTCTGGAGCCCCATCTTCCCTGACAACCTGCGCCTGCTTTTCCCCTTGGCAGTGACACGGAGCCTTTATGAAGCCAAACACACCGAAAGTCAGCGGGTTCCGAGGCCCTCAGCCCGCAGCAGACGCCGAGTTTTCCCCGCACCCCCGGTGACTTCCACCCGTGCACGGCGGCCGCTCCCAGGCCCCCCGAGCGCCTTCCAGCCGCAACTCCCCCTCCCCTGAGGCCGGGCCCCGGCCGCGGCCCCCCCGTCACACGGCCCGTAGGTCGGTCCGCCACCCTCGAGCAGCCCCGCGGTCCTCGGACGGGCGAACGGGCACGGCCGCACTCCGAGCGGGGCCGGGGGTCAGCGCCGCCAGCCACGGCTCGTCCCGCTCCCCCCCGGGCCCGGCACAAACACCGCCCGTGCCCGCGGGCCCCGGGCCGGGGGAACGTGTCCGCAGCCCCTCGGCCCCGGAGCCCCCCGGGCCCCGCACCCGCCCCGCCCGCGGCCCCGGCCCGCACCAGTTGGTCATGTCGAGGAAGAAGGCGCAGCCGGCGGGGCTGAGCTGGAAGCCGAGCAGGCGCTGGAACTCGCCGATGAGCACGTCCTTGTCGGTGGTGCCGAGGCAGCTGAACTTCTGCATGAGCTCAGCGTCCAGGTCCACGTCCATGCCCTCCA